AGTTTACATGGCATTTATAAGTAGAGTCCATTGATTTTTGGTGAATAAAAAGAATTTTGACGCCATTTTTGCCGCCATTTTGAAAATGGCCGATGACACCCCTAGGGCGACTTTCAATTTCGTTCAAAATTCATATATAAACTTCATACATGAAGTCTCATAAAATATCAAACTTATCTGCAGCTCCGCCAAAAAAAGTATTTTCTGTGGCACCCTAATGGGCAATAACTCAAATTCTGTTGATCGAAAAATTGCCAAATTTAATCTTGACTAAGATCTCATCATTATATATGATCATACCAAATTTATTTTAAATCAGATGAAAACTGTACCCTCTATTGTGTTCACAAACAAATTTTGACGCGTTTTTCATGAATCAAGAACAATAACTCAAAAACCGTTCATTGAAAGATAGCCAAAAAAAGAACTTCTCCGAGATCTCATCATTACAAATATTAACACCAAATTTCATTTAAATTGGATGAAAACTGTAGTCTCTATTGTGTTCACAAACAAATTTTCACGTGTTTTAAATAAGTCAAGGGCAATAATTCAAAAACCGTTCATCGAAAGATCGTCAAAATCGAACTTGTCCAGGATCTCATGAATATAAATGATCAGATAAAAACTGTTGTCTCTATTGCGTTCACAAGGGCGACGACGATATACGACCACATTGTAATGTGGGCGTATAAAAATGTATAAAAAAGTGACAAAGATGTAAAACCTGTATAAAACATGAATATTGCACTGTTCGCAGAAAAAAGCTCAACACCAAATTTCTCAATTTTAATTCTTCCAGTTAATGATAGTATCTCTTTGTCTTTTTCTGTCACTTGATCTTTAATTTTTTTATTTTCTGTCTCCATGCTCTCCAACTTGGCCTCTAAGTCTTTAATCTTTCTTGCCCTATAAAATATTAAGAGATTACAACATTATCCATGGGCAAAATATCCCGGAGAAAAACATCTCCCAGGCCACAATTATACAGGTCCAGGCACTAGGTTAGATCTGCGTTTAGACGAAAATGATATTCCCAAACCAGGGGAAGAACCCGTTAATAGAGTTGACGCAGCAGCGCTCAAACACGACATACTGTACAGAAATAAAGACGTAACATTCAGACACCAAGCAGACAAACAAATGATAGACGAACTCGAAAATATTCCAAATCCCACTTTCAAAGAGAAATTACAAAGGGCTCTTATCATTAAACTCTTGAAGGCAAAATTGAAATGGGCATAGCAGACGAGATTCACAAAGAGTCAAAGTTTTTGATAAAGATGAAATTTGGTCAGCCGATTTAATCAACATGCCAGTCGAGAGAGGGTACAAGTATTGTTTGACGGTGATCGACATATACACGAGATACACTTGGGTCTTTCCCTTGAAAAACAAATCGGGTCTGACTGTCAAACAAGCATTCGAAACCATAATGAAACAATCCGACAGACGACCCCTAAAGTTGTGGGTTGATAAAGGAAGCGAATTCTACAACAGAAATGTAAAATCTCTGGGGTTTGAAATTTACAGCACGCATAACGAAGGTAAAGCCGTAGTGATAGAAAGATTCAACAGGACTCTTAAAAGCAAATTATTCAAGAAATTCACGGAATTGAAATCTCAAAAATGGCTTAAAATATTACCGGTTGTTGTCGACGAATACAATAACAAAATACATTCGTCTATAGGTGTGACGCCATCCCAAGCCTCTAATAACCCGAATATCATAAAGTCCGTCAACACTCGAAACAACTTTGAAAACGAGATTAGTAATTTGAATATTAAACCCAAATTCAAAGTTGGAGATCGAGTTCGTATTTTTAAATATAAATCATTGTTTCAGAAAGGTTACGTCGGCTATTGGACTAACGAGATATTCATCGTTGATAAAGTAAACAACACATCACCTCCCACGTATGAATTGATCGATCAAGACAAAGAACAAATCATAGGAAGGTTTTATCAAAATGAACTTCAAAAAACTGACTTTTAAAAATGAATCTCGAAAATGAAGATTTAGATGAAAGGTTAAGAAATTTAGATGTCGACAAGCATTTACGCTCTCTTAAATTAAGATTTTTTAAATTTATCTTCAAAATATTATTGAATGTGTTTTATCAGAATGTTATACAAGTTTTTTCAAACACAAACTACGTATATATTTCGTCAATTGGGTCTTTAGCAATACTTACCGCCTACTTCGAAAAACACCTAAAAAAATCAACTTAAAAAATGAATGCGTTTCTCGATTAATACGGAAAAGACACGACCACAAATTTTCAACTTGTGAAATGGGCCAAGGAGTTGAACGTCTCGCCGTTTTATTATTGCATGCGAGATGAAATTGATGAACTGAAATACAAGAAAGGTAAATTTTACGCCATCACAAACATTCACACGTCGGATCAAAAAGGAGTTCATCACTCTGCTTTACACAAAGATTCTTCGAATAACTAGAACCGACAGAAGAGATAACGAAATTGACTAGCAAACCAATCAAATGTTCTACGTTTCAAATTCAAATGCCAGGACAAAAGCTGTGTGGTCAGCTGTCGCTTTGGGTTTTATATCGGTTGAGTTTGGGAGAAAAGTTTGAAGAAATTATAATAAATTTAACTCAATAAAAATGGCAAACAAGTTTGGATTAGGGTCTTTACCTCTAGAATCTAAAAATCCCATGAGTTCTACGGCGTTTATAAACAAAGCGAAACCTTTTTTCGTGGATCAAATCGGAGACACCTTACAAGGGGATATCGATATGAACAATTTCAAAATAACTAATTTAAAGTTTCCAGGAAACGATAACGATGCCGTGAACAAGAAATATTTACTGGATCAAATAAACGCAATTCAAATAGATAAGGACGTGAAAAGATTCATCAGACGAAATATTAAAAATCTTGTGGACGAACCCAAACTACAACAAGAGTTCACGAGTTTGAAACGTCTTATTCAAGTGGATAAAACAAGTGAGTTGATATCTAAATTAGACGATAAGATTACGAAGGTAAAAATAGACGTCCAACGTTTAATAGACAACCCAAATGTAAACGAGGATAGATTGAAACGACAACTAGCCGTTTTGGAAAGAAAACTTGGCGAATTGCTAGCAGAACTGGACAAGACCGCGGACAAAACCGAGTTACAAAATTCGATATCCAATTTGAACGAAAAGATCGCGAAGCAAAAATCAGATGTTCAAGATATAATTAACACACTTCCCATTGACAAAGATACGTTGAAACAACAATTGACTGCTTTGGATACTAAAATCACGGACGAATTAGAAAAAGAAGTGGGTGTGATTAAAAACTTTCTTCAAAATAAATTTCGAGATGATATGAAAAATTATATTAAAGAACAGGTCAATCTTTTGGTATCTAGAATTCATGACGATTTTTTGAGACAAGAGAGAAAGTTGAGCAAATTAGAAGCTATTGTCACGGACAAATCGTATTATTTCAATCTACCATTCGAAAGTGACACTGTCTTCGATAGAAAAGACCAAATTTATAAATCAAACAAATACGGATTCAAAGCAGAAGTAAAAGTGGGTTCACTCGCATACGGAGAACCTAAAAACGTATTCGATATCGGCGAAACACAAGAGTTTTCTTTTCGAGGTAATTGTCTGATTCAAATAGAGTTTCCCATGAAGGTTAAAGTCAATATAGTAGTCTTCAAACAAACCGGTAAGGGCGTCAAACACATTTCATTATTCAATGGTGGTAATTTGGAAGAGAATATACGTTTGATTGATAAAAGGGATCAGGAAATTGAAACGAAAAATGGTAAATATGTAGACACCTTTAAAATGGAAGTAGAAAATGATAAGGATATCATTGGAATCAAAGATTTAGATATGATATTGGAGACGGAAAATCCACCATCAAGCAACATTGACAAAGTTCCACGACGCTTACACGAACACGGAAAAATAGAATCGAGCAGTCACGAGTTTTTACGAACAACAGACTTTGAATACGTAAAACTATATTTTGCTTTAGGTGAAAAATACACCTCTATCGATGTTCATAAAAGTCAACAAGAACGAGAGTTTATAGTACATTTAACGTTTGTCGAAGGTTCCGACTCCATCCTTCATGCTGGTAGTTATATTTTTAGAGCCAAGATAAACATCGAAAAAGAAAAAAGAAAATATTCCTATCATCTTAAAGAGGACCATACGAAAAAAGAAATGTCGTACGCGTAAATGTTTTTACTTTTAATACCCGAATATTTAAGAATACTAGGCCAAACGACCACGCTCTATGGGATATTCCGTGGTTCTATTTATCGGAAATTCACTTAATTTAACGACTTAAAAAATGGAACTCGAAAGCAGACAACAATACATGATAGACAAACAAGAAGAGTTGAAAATAAAGTTAAGACAGTACAATTCATGCAGGAAAACATGGAGTAGTATCGATTCTGTTTTCAAAACAGCGAGTGTAGTTCTAACGATAGGAACAACACTTGCAACGGCCGTGACTGGTGGATTAATGGTTCCTGTCCTTGTCCCAACTGTATTAGCCACAATTACTGCTATTCAAACTTCATCTTGTGGCTTGATTGCTATAGGTTTCACGAGCAAAAAGAAAGCTCATTATAAAAAGAAAACGGATATCTTGAATATGTATCTTAATCAATTGTACATCTTTTTCGAAAGATCGAGAGAAGACAAGAACATAACAGTTGAAGAATTACAAGAATTCAATGAAATTTTGGACAAATTCCATACAGAAATATCAGCGGTTAAAATAAAGAAATAATCAAAAATATATACTTAAAAAAATATGATTAAAATCGAACTTGATGAAACATTGATAGAAAACGCCCTATTTTCCGATGTTTCCAAGGCTATCTCTGATAAATTTAAAAAATTCAAAGGACAAATTAAAATAGATGGAGAGATAGTCGAGGAAGGGAATCACAGACAATACATGTCACTCCTCGGTTTCAATGCCAAAACCTTTCACAATATTTTTTCAAATATGGACAAAAAATCCGATGCTTCCGATTGGTATTTTACAGGAAAAATAATTTTAATGAAAGACAATTTCCAAGAAATCAAAAGGTCGAGAGTTGGCAGAGGAGGAACTGATCTGCTTAAAAAGATAAATGAATACGAAGACGAAAATTGTTACATACCTACAGATGGTCACTTTTTTATCAAATGCGTCAATCGTGTTTTGAACAAAGACTTAACGTGTAAATTTCAAGAATACATCAACGGGTTTTCAAAAGCAAATAGAAAAGGAGTGATGACTTGTGCTAGAATGAATGAATTCAACAAGAAATTTAACACTTCGTTTCAAATTTATAATCCCAAAAACAGACATTTTCACCCCAGAGACGTTCACGATGAATTAGATTGGGTTTTGTACTTACACAACTCGCATTTCTGTTTGATTAGAAGAAGCCAAAAAAGTTTGGGAATTCAAGAAATAGAAGACAATTACGAACAGGTGTGGAAAACGTGTAGAGACGACAACGCAGTAACACAGGTTTCACCCCTCAAACTAAACGTGCTTTCAAGTATGAGCGATGATGCGTTTTCGCTTGCGATTGCGAAACGTATTCAGAAAAAGACACACGAAGAGCAATTCCATATTGTTGCACTTTAATTAATTTAGAAAAACTAAGGAAAATGTTAAACAGAATAAATAATCTCTTTCCAGATTTAAAGCCGTCAGATCCCATTCAAGAAGAATTTTATGATAAACTAATGAATGTAGTAGAAATATTTGTAGGTACAGATTGCATCGATCAAATGTTGAAATATTTAGGTCAATATGATAGAAAGAGATTAATATTAATTTCTCATAACGGCAGTGGATTCGACTGGATCGTGCTTAAAAATGCAAAAAAACTAACGCATTGCCCTTTAAAAACACCCAGAGGAATTCTATCTTTTCCTTTATCTAATCCATACACGGATGAAGATTTACAGAAAAAATGGAAAAGACAGAAAGAAATAAAGGGTAATTATTTACAACATATTAATTTCACGTGTTCCTATCAACACGAATCCTCTAGTTTGGCTGCATGGGGAAATTCTTCCAATCTTCCCGCGAATTTGAGAAAGATTGCCGACCTAGATATCGCTAAATACACGCGAGACAACTGGGAGGAATTGAGACACGAATGGGAACCTTATTTATATCATTACGATAAAGAAATGGTGGAAGAAGAATGGTATGAAACTACTAGAATGGTTGCGAAACATACCGAAAAAGAAAATATAGAAAAAGTTTATTCGCACACTAATCCTTTTATAAGAAATTTTATCAGACGATCTATTAAAGGAGGAAGAGTTTCGGCAAATAGAAAACCATTTGAAACGAACAATTGATTTATTCAAAGAATACAGTGCAAGTACAAAAGACAAAACGGAGGTTCATTCGAGACTTAAAAAATAGAATGTACTAAACTAATGGCATTTGATGCTAACGGTTTATACGCTTCCGCCATGTCGGATTTAGACAGTGAATATCCGAGAGCGGAAAGTGGAAGACCGTTTCTACCAGAAGAAGAAAAAGAATTTGTGATGCTGTTCAATAAACAAAAATTCAGACCTAGAACAGCTATTTTAACAGTGTGGTTTGACTACCCCAAAAACATGTTCTTCCAACCGATACCAGCTAAAGATAAAATCACTTTCACGAATAAAGAAGGTAAAAAGGAAACGGGTAACAAAATCAGGTTCAGAAATGGTTTCTGTCACGACGTTTTAACATCGGTCGATATTCAAGAAATAGTGAAAGCCGGTGGACGAATTATTAGAATATTAGATGGTATAGTTTACGAAGAAAATTCTAAAACTCCACCCTATAGAGATTATATTTTAATTTTGAGAGATTTAAAAAATAAATATAAACGAGAAGGTAATATAGTGGGTAGTAATTGCATGAAATTATTAGGTAATTCCTTGTATGGTAAATCAATTCAGAAAGATATATTCACAACTAGACATTTATGGAATGAAGCAACTTTACAGGCCAACTTTGATTCACGCGTTAAAACCTATGAGAAAATTAATGATACTCAATATATTGTTGAAACGGAAATTGAAGAAAAAGAGATTACTATCGAAGACAGTAAATCTACACGACTAACACCTAGTCATTTGGGATCATTCGTTTTATCTCACAGTAAAAAAATAATGAACAATTTCATTCACGTCATAAATGGATTTTATAAACCCGAAATATACTATACCGACACCGATAGTTTGTACATTCATCCAAAAATGGAAAAAACTAAACAGAGCTGT